TTAAGCTGGTACTGTCTACAATGAGACTACATAGCCTTGGGAAAGAAAGCACAATTAAATGCAGCACTCTAGCCACTTAAAATTACACATACATTTCTTACCTAAAATATCCACATTATTTTAGAAAAATTTCTATTTGCAAGTCTGACTACTCTGAAAAGCCAACTGGAACCACAACATTTTAGTGGGTTTTATCCAAGTCGAATTAGCTGACTTCATAGGTAGAAGGTAGCTGGTAGCTGGTAGCTCTGAAGCAACAGAACAGATAGTAAATTTAAAGAGAAAATAGAGAGATGTACATACTACTGTAAATAATATAATTGGCAAACCTGTTCCTCTAGGGGCTTTAATATGCTTTTTACTGTCAACATGAGCTTGAATGAAGAACTCTTCCAAGCAACTGCCAAGACTGAAGCAGTCTGACGTGAAAGCGCAAGCTCAGGCATAGCAATATTTGTGGTAACATGAGAAAACCAACACCACATATAACAATTGGAGTCTTTTCTTCTGTTTTCCTGCATAATTTATTAACACATAGGAGCAGTCTATATGCTACAATTTCTTTAGTCTGTGCATTTCTTCTCTTATCCATTTTTACCTCGATTACACCTTTTTGCCTCCCCACACACCACAATTATTTTTCTCTTTTCCCCATACCACTTCCCATTCTGCTACAGTTTTCCCACTAACCAAAAGTTGATGAGGATGAAAACAAAAGGGCACTTCTTTTGTAGCATCATCCAAAACCACGCTGAGAAAAAATTAAAGGAAGCTTTAGCAAGGCTGCATCCTACTAGTATAGACAAGTAGAAGAGAAGAGAAGAAAGGAAGACAGTAAACTCAAAATGGTGGAGTGTCACTGTAGAGGCATCACTATGTTTACTGTGAAAGTATATAGGAGATAATTTCCGCAATCCATGCCTGTTCTTCCCTATGGTATAGTCTGACATTCAGAAGCATCTCAGAAGCTTCAGAGAGCAGGCAGACCTTGGAGCTGTACAGTCCTCTGCATTACACACAGTCCAGATGTCTGTAAAATGCCTTCTGCGGGTATTAGAGAAAAATTCTCGATGAGCATTTTCACAGTAAGCACAACGCCTCTGCATCAACAGACATATACAGGTTTCCTATTACACCTTTTGCTATTTTATAAGCTTATTAAATGTAATAATAATAATTTACTACATTTCACCTTAGACTGAAAACTTGTTTACAACATGGGTTTGAATGACAGTTCTAGACCACATATGATGGGATTCCTTTACGGAGATTTGAATTTCGAAAGTGAATAAAAGAAACAAATTAAAAGCACTGCTTGAGTAAATAAGGACACGTAAAACATGAAATCTCACACAGCCCGACTATTTTTTATATCAATTTTTTCATATATTTCTGCTAAAACTTATAGCTACAGTGGATATTAGTAGTCAGAAAAGTAGGACAGACCTAGTGGAATATGCTAAAATAATAGCTGAGTGATGTTTAGACTTGGACTACTTTGAGAGAAATATATATATCTTATATATATGATTTTTTTAAAACTGTCATTATCCATCTGAAGCTATCAACCTACTGCAGCACACACTAGTGTAGCCCTATGGTCGCAACACAGCCACACCTTAAAAAAAACCCTTTCTGTTGGAATTAGTAACAGTTCATGGAAAGGTATACAGTATGAAATAAGTTTCTAGAGCACATACAACTAAATATTTAAGAATATGTTCCTTATTTAGGCACATTCCACCAGACAAAAAGAAGACTGGTTTCATGTTAGATGATGCTATATCATCACCAGGAGAATGAAAAGGGGAAAGGAAAAAATCCACCCTATACATGTAAACCTTCGGTCAGGGGAATAAAAGTCCTATTTTTACTTGTGCACAGGTGTTTTTTTTCCTTCGTAACTGAGAATAAATTATTCTCAATTATTGTAGCTTTAGAACACTGATTTTGGTAGCATTAACTTTTCTGTAACTTACTGGTCTATTTAGCAGAAACAAGAGCAAATTTATTTCATAGAAGAATGAAATAGCATTTTAATGTTCCATTTTAATTGTTGGTTCTCACACTTTAGAAGTGCATAGGCATTACCAATGGAAAGGATATCTCAGGTTAGCTGATCTATCATATGAGAGACTTCATGAAGTATCATGAGAAACACAGAAACAAACAATATGAATAGAAGTGGGTCAGACTGTGTAAATATAAAGATAACCCCCTAAAAAAAGAAAACATCCTGTAATCCATTAGTCACGAGAACGATGACAGAAATTCAGCCTTACATACCCCACAGAGTACAATGGAGATATGCAAGAAGCAATCTGGAACGGAATTCCCGACCTAAGTACCTACCTATTACAGAACAAACAACAAAAAAAACCACCACACCCCAACTTTTTGGCTTCTCTCTGCAAATGAATTTAGAAGAAATAAAGTCATAACAGATTTTACTAGAAAAGCAGAATGGTGTGCTCTCTGCCCTGTATCAAACAGGAATGATCAAAGAGTGACTTAACTAATTTCACTGGGTGATACAAGGATCCCAGCAGATTCCACTCCCCCAGATGGTGCACACCTACAGGTAATGGAGATGACTAAAGAAAGAGACAGTAGAACCCATGAAAAGAAGATTTCAGAAAGACTAAATCTTACGGCCGTAATGAGGACAACAGTAATGGGATCAACACAGCATGGCTGCAAGTGCCATACAAAATCT